CTTTTGATCTATTAAGGAATAACATAGATTAAGATGATTTGGTTATAAGACATAATAAATGATATATAATAAATGTTTTTTCCTTACAAATGAAATGATTCATTTGAGAGACTTAATATCAAAACAACCGATTTTCTTATCACTTTTTGTCTTATAGTATGACTTGAAAAAATTTTCTCCTAAAAAATATTTGAATTTGTTATCATTAAAACTGTAACGACTCACCGTAGCCGTCACACTACGAAACAACACAACACACTACTAGAAAATATATACTAGAATAGTATAATAAAATATTTACAACACAAGTTGCTAATCAAGCAACCAATAGTAACCAGTTATATACAACAAAATATGCTACTATAAGGTAGCCTACAAAAAAAATATCCATCTCCAGGAACCTCCTGTGGCCTCTAGTAACTATCTCCCAGCCTATCCATGCCCTGCTCCCATACCAACATATGATCATCGCAGTCCAAACCACATGGAAACATGCAAGGGTAAGCTAGAGACAATAAACAACTCATAAATATCAAATATGAAACACAACTATATAAACATCTTCACATCCGACACAAAAGATAAACAATACATATATTATACATCTTAACATCATTTCAACTTGATTCCACATATCAACGCTATATCAACACCTCAACACAACTACTATACAACTATTGGAATAATTATCATATTCATCATAACAACAACCAACACATGTGTTACACACCTCTCAACAACACATGTTTAAAACAACTTACAACACAGGTAATCTAGCGACACTAGCATCATCATCAACTTGTATACAATTAAGCAACTTACAACAGAACAACACTATCATCATCCACAACAAGAACAACATACAACACAATCACAGCTTAACAACATAACAACATAAATACAACTCTTATCAACAACTTATGCGTCGTCACACATTTCAACTCGGAGATCTCCAACAACTGAGGTTGAGCATTCTAGGTGGCATAAACCCTACCGAATCCAGTGTTTGACCTATCTCAACCAGGTCAGGTATAGAACATCGTTAGGAACTCCGAAGAGAACCAGGTATAGACAACAATAGGCGATAGGTGTGTCGCTTAGACTCGGAGGTCTAGTACTACTGTCAGGACAGAAGGGTTTGGGTATGAGTCTACCACGACCTTGGCTAGCATCACCAATCCACATATGGAGTTAGCCCACCCATTTTCCTCCAAGTACCACGCACCCTCCAATACCTAGTCAAAGACTACATCTCTAACTAGATACCTTACTCAAATTGGTTATTCAACCATGACATAGATCGACTACTTCCATGTCGCCCACACAGTACTAAGGGATTCAACTTTAAAACAACTTTCAACTTATCTCCTTAGTACTATGTATCTCAACATAGGACATATATCTTCACCATAGGTCCCCAACTTTTCAAATTTACAATAATAGACACCATAACAACTTTACAACAATAAACATCTGGTTGCTTGTAATCGGTATAGCTCGGCCTGGCCCCTATACCGTGGTCGCTTTGTACACGTGTGCCTCGACCTTGCCCACACACGGGATCAACTAAGTCCTAGAGGAGAACAACACAACGTCCACTCCAAGAGACAACTTCCCAATGAGGGTTTTTCAACAAATTGGGCTCTTAGAGCACCACAACTATCTCAATCCACACAATGGAATGAGCAACTTCGAAAATATCTCCCCTAGTCCTAGTGATCAACATTTCATCATCACAGCTTAATTAGCTTAACAACTTAAACAACATACTACTTTTCAACTCATCATCTCAATCAACATTCAACTTGAACAACACAATCAACTCAACAACTTATTAGCTCAACTCATAATTTACAACTCAATCATCATAAAATAATATCTTTTCAACACATGGCACAACATAAAACTTTATAGTAACATACAACTCTTCTCTAACAACTTAACAACATGATCTACTAATAAATTTTGTATAAATGTCAACACGTCTACACATTTCACATCATGCTTCTCACAACTCACAACATTATTATTTCATCATATTCTACAACATATAAATAATCCACACATAAATATAACAACTTTAGCAACATATCATGTATTCAACGCATTTTCTATTTGGCACAACTACTCATTTAGTTTACAAAACTATACTCAACATGCATCTCTTCATTTCACTTTCTACTCATCATACATCTCAATGTAATTATACAACTCCATATGAGTTCCTAAACTCACATACAATCAAACAACATACAATCTAGCTTCCCTTACTTGAAGATTAGCTCAGAATAGCCAAAAATTGAGAAGAAGTGGAATTTCCTTTCTGAAGCTCAACCCGGGACTTCAATCCACCCAAAGCAAGCTTCCTAGTCCAGAGTCCTTCTCTCTAAAAACCTTTCATTCTCCTCTACTGCACAACCTCTATTTATAGAAATCTGAAGTGGCCAGAACGGCCCGTTTCAAAATTGGAACAACCCGTTCTAGGCTCTTTCATCATGTGTAAAATTCACATGCAGAACGGTTCGTTTTGAAATCGGAACGGGCCATTCTGGTACGTCTAGAACGGCTCGTTCTAAAACTAGAACAGCCCATTCTGGAGTTGAATTTAACTCACAATGATCACTTTGGAACGACCCGTTCCAGTCCAAGGTTCACAGGCTTATTTAGTAGTTTGGAACGGCCCGTTCTGGACTACTAAATCACCCTTATTTTAGTAGTTTGGAATGACCCGTTCCAATCTGGGAACGTCCCGTTCCAATCTGCTAACTACGTTACAAAAACTTATATATTGAAGGATCCATGATTATCTTTTGACTTAATATATAATAAATGTTCATTTGTATGAATTCCTTAAGCCTCAATCCATATAAATGTTAAGGAATACAAATATAAAGGCCCAAACTTACATCCATAGATATGTGCATTATTAAAAGAGAGAGAGAGAGAATTACTTAGCACATCAACATGTATAAGTACAAATTATCAACTTTAATTAATATTCATATAGTTACTAATTGATTATTTTTTCCAATTGTTGTTACTCATAGTCATTATTCCTAGAGAATATATTATTGTTGTTCAAGTCCTTGCATAGGAAACACACCATGACATATTATACGGGTATGCTATAATTTCTCACACGCACAATTGAGTTTTGCAATGTGATATACATTATCATATTTTAATGCACACATGTTTCTTTTAACTAATGTCGTGGTCACTTGCAATATTTTAGGTGATAGGCCCAGTACAAGAGGACGAAACCTTACTTCTATTTATCCTAAAGTAATTTACAAATTTTGAACCCATAAATGAAGACATGTTTTATTAATTTCTTTACCAAGTTTGTGATACAAATAAATTAAAATTTCATTTTAGTATAGTAAACAAGAAAACAACCATGAGTGTGAGCAGGTAATATAATTTTTTACTTTTAAAACTTAGAATAATTATAATTTAATCTTTATGATACAATGAGCACTTATATGCTATTATATGTTGTAGCTATTTCGGGAACAAAACACCATTGACTAAAGAATAAATTTCGAAAATATATATGATATGAGTGGGCAAATTATTTTCCTCAAATTAGGAATAAGAGGATTTTATGTGCTTTATTTTATAATTGATTTAAGGTTCTTTTTCCTTGTGTGAGTGGGTAAATTATTTTCTTCAAATTAGGAATAAATCATAGGATTTTAAGTGCTTTATTTTATAATGGGTTTAAGGTTCTCCATAAGTTATAGTATAGGGTTTAGGGTTTAGTTTGTGTGTGTTACAATTTTTTTAAAAATTAAAAAAATTTAAAATTTTGTTTCACTTATTCAAATTGAAAAATAATTATAAAAATAAATAATTTAATATACTTTGTTTCATTTATTTAAATTGATATATAATCATAAAAATATTTTGTATGTTGATTTAAATCTATATAATGAAGCATCATATGATTTTTAATTTTTTTTAAAATTTGCAGATGTGATCTATGTAAATTTTAATTTAATAGATGTATCATTAAAATATAATGTAGAACTTGAGTTATTGAATTGAGTAAATCTATCAAAATATCTTTTGGAGTAATTAAATCCCTCCTTATATATATATATGTGTGTGTGTGTTTGATGTAATTTAGAAATAATTTGGACTAACATTAACATGTACATTTATTTGAATATCCTTTTAATTATATATTGTTGAACATATATAAGGGGGAATACTTATTTCATTGAATTTGTCTAGAGTATTTTATTGATTACAAGTTATTGATTATTGTCTAAAATAGATATAGTGCATTAAAAAAATCACTTTGTGCATTGGTTAGACACTAATTGGTGTAGAAATGTTATCTTCTAATAAGTCAATGAATATTGCAACCAATGTATAAAATAACTTATCTACATTTGTTGGTGTTTTAATTGATGTAAAAAGTGGTCATTTCTACATCGATTAAAGCTTTATTTGACATTGAAAGAACATTTTCATGTTAGTTTTTAAGCTGACATTAAAAAAATACCAACTTTTTACGTTATGGACTATATCTAGCTAGGTCAATCAAAGAATCAATATAAGAGAGTCAACATAACCAACCTAGAAGAACTCTATTACACTTGTGTATTTATTCTTTTCTTATATCCAAGTGGCCTTTAAAGGAGTTTGCATCCTCTTCATTTCTTGTCCATTTCTATGATTTTGGATGTATAAATAACATAAATATGATAAATCATGTCATCTAACTTGACTCATCCAATTAGAGCAAGAAACTAAGCGGAGAGGTGAATTTCCTTTGAGATTGGGATTTAATAGCTAACCAAGATTTAGTATATAAAATTCTAATAAATATATATAAATTTTAAAAATATAAAATTAAAATAGTTAATGATATTCAAACAAATAAGTCCATCTTTTGCACCTTAATTTTAGGAGCCCAATCTGACTCATCGAGTCAATTGAGTTAAACAAACCCATTTTTTTATTACCTTTCTTTTAGAACCAACCCTACCTATCAAGACACAAAGCAGCGGAATGTTCCAACTTGCATGCCTAATGAAAAGGGCACATGATAAGTTTTCTTTTACTCAATAGTTAAAGAATACAGCATTTAATCAGAAATAACAGTAAGAGCATAGAATATCACTATTTTGTGCTGTAGCTAAGCACTAGAGGACTCATTAAGCCACATATATAGCACATTATGAGTTTGTGACAATTTAAATGTTAAACTACTTAGGTCCTGGGGTCATATATTGGGCGCATGAATCTCAATTTACACCGACACATTCACTCGTGTCTCACACTGATGGGGCAGAGGGATTATGAATTCTCACTCCTCCACACATGTTTTTACAAATTAAAATTTTACATATGATCATATGTCTCAACATGCTGGATCCATAAAACATTTATGTAGTTACTACCAATGCAACAAATTCATCCTACCCATGCATCGATCCCTTCATTTTTCAAATACGCATATTCCAATGTCACAGTCTGATGAACTTGTATTTAAAAACGGGTTTAACTTGTTCCCTTCATTATCCCTACTATTCTGCAATAGCAGCAATGGCATGTCTGAGCTAGTATGAGTAGCAAAGCTTGACACCCCTTCTATCTCGTGCCTCTCTTCTTGACTCAACTGAGAAGCCACGAACTTGTCAAGATCTCTCCAATCAGTCACTTTCTTTGTGTTGGATGATAAACCCTTTTGATAATCATCTTGGTTAGATATAAGGGTCGACACTGAGGTTTGCTTCTTTAATAATGGCAAAGAAGGGCTTTCTAGCTGAGGAAGTTGCACCAATTGATCTGCATGCATGAAGCTCAAACTTTCTGCTTCTATCATCTCTTGCTTGTAAAGGAAACTTTGAGCTGAAAAACTCTGAGGTTGTTGCCTTATGATAAGGTCAATAGGGTCCACCCCAGAGTTGACACCACTTGCTTGTTCATCGTATAAGTAGCTTCGATCCCATCCTTCAATAGTCTTTGTTTGGCCGTTGGTTCTTTTCCTGAAGGCTCTGCACACCACCCATCCTTCCTCCTGCACACACTCGATTATACGTTTGAAAGCTAAGATGAGACTTTATGAACTGTTTCACTTTCTCTAGGAATGTATTGTGTTTGACTTGACTAGGTCAACTAGATGTTTTGAAAGGAAAATGGTGAAAGTTTGCGTTTATCTTTTTATGAGTGTTTTCCCTTTAGCTTTTGAAAATTTTCGGTTTGCTTGGTAAGAAGTAGTAGCTACTAGCAAGTCAGGTCAAATAAATAATGAATTAATATTATATATCCTGATAAAAAGGGTTCAACTAATAAAATGAAACAACAAATGCTATTGTAGCTCATGACATGATTGAAAATTAAATATGTGTCATCTTTTGGTTCTTTAATCTGTTCCCTTTTATGTCTTCCTAATTAAAAATTGACATTTATATTGCCAAAAAAAGCTTATCTTTCTTGTAAGTGGTGACATTTTCTTTCTTAATTATTAGTTTTTCTGGCTGATCTCATTTTTCAACAGGAAAAAAAAAAGAGAAAAGAGGTTCATGAAACATAATTAACAAGCAAACAAATTTTAGGGTAGCCTATAATGTTTTTAGGAGTAAGTTTCACAAAACTTTTCGGGTAGACATGATTACCACCGCCTATAACGTGGTTATGCCCCTGCTATTGGCTGAATATATGTTGGACTAGAGTCAAGGTAGAGGTTCTCTTCCTTTCTTCCTCAAATTTTCTTTTACCATAAAAGGGAACAAAAAAGACGGGTTTGTACGTTTGACGAGAAAAATAGCAAGAATTAAAAGTCTAGAAGAAAAGAAAAAGAAAAAAGGTTCAATTATACGCTTTTGAAAATAGTTACTTTTGACTTCTTGTTGGTGAAAGTTCTGTAGCAAATGGGTAGTAAAAAGCTTGTACGTGCCTTGGTGAACATTCAGTTAGTGGTCTACGAAAGCAAAAGTTGTCAGGGTCTATTAAATTATAAAACGAGCTTAGGGAACCAATCAAGTGCTTAATCTGCATTGATACAGAAACAAAAAGCACACGAGACTAAACTAACTTGAGCTAGAGAGGATGTTTCGGGTGAAGGAATAACTTGGAAATTGGAAAAACCCGTGGAAGTGATTAAAACTAAACTAACTAAATTAGAAATAGTGCTTGATCTCGAATTCCAAAAACTATCCTTGTTTGCGTGTGTGAATAGGACAAGGCTAGGGTAGTGAAATATGCGATGATTATGACTAAATGGGGGGGCCATATTCTAAATTGAGCCACTCATCATGTATGAATTTAACATCTCACATTCAACCGCACAAACACACAAATTATAATTAATACACAAAGCGTAAAAGGGTATATCATATATTCATATATGATAATGGTATATGTGCACTAAGAATATATATATATATGTTAAATATATACTATAGAGATACTTGCCTGTGGAGGTCCATTCTCGACAGTTTCAAGCCTATATTCGTGCATGATCCAATCAGTTTTTTGTCCATTAGGGGCTCTTCCTTTGTAGAAAACGAGGGTCTTTCTCATGCCAATGAGTTTGGTCCTTTCGTACACTGATTTGTCTCTTCCTGTGGCCTTCCAAAACCCTGCCATGGTGGCTCTGTTGGTTCTTGTTCCGGTTGGATACTTCTTATCTTTGTGGCTAAAGAAATACCACTCATTCTGCTCCTCATACCCAATCCTGCATCTCTCTGCCAAACTCAAATCATTCACAACCATGTCTAAAAAATTAAAAGAGAAAAAAAACTAATAATTAAGATCTAGTTTTTGATCATACTTCTTTTACAAAAGGCTACATCAATTTGACACTCAAAACCCTAATTGGATTCCGAAAGTAGTGAAGAAGGTGTAGATGGGTGGGTGGGAATAGTTTTAGTTTCTCAAAATGTGACCGGTCATGTGTGGTTTATTGGCTAAGATTAGTCATCAGCTAAATATTTGTACTAATAACATAATTATCGATCATTTCCAAAGAGTGATAAGTGGAAAAAAAATAGAAGATTATTTGTTTTGAAAGTAAACATGCAGTGTATATATATATTATGCATTACGTTGTAGGATAGGTAGAAGAATTATACGTAATTCACAAATGCTTATGTGTGCATATACCTTGGAGATCCCATGGTTCAATGCGATAAAGGTCGATCTCTTTGATAACGTCAAGATCAATCTTCTGCGAAGCAACTTTCTTCCTGAGATAATAACCAACCAGCTCTTCATCTGTTGGGTGGAACCGAAACCCCGGTGGGACACATGACTCCATCATAGCAATTACTGATGAAACTGCACCAAATTCACCACCACCACTACCATTAATACCTTCCACCCTTGACCGTCTCCATCATGAAGATATAAATCTATGTGTGTGTATGAAATTGAAACATGAATATGTATGTGTGTGATAGAAGAGAGAGAAGCAAGAGATAACAATAACACTACTCCAGTGAAGCAAAAAGCTAAAAAGGCAAACCCCAACAAAAGGATATATAATATAAGAGTAGTGAAAAGGTGACAAGTGTTGTGAGAGATAACCATCATCTCATTTGGTGGAGAGGAGTACTCAAGGGAATTGAATTGAAAAGGAAATAAAAATAAGCGCGTGTTATAAACAAAAACCCATAATTTGAGAAACAATAATGATTTTTCTTCCCTGGGCCGGGTTAAAAGATAACTGGGTACACAGAGAAAGGAATCATGAGAGTTAGGTTTTGATGAAAACCATGAGGAGGAGTTGGAGCTTAGAGACCTCTGCTTGTGAAGGGTCTGCGAGAAACGGACAGCTACAGGCTTGTGCTAATCATGCTGTCTTGTGTTGGTGAATGGAGTGAATGATTCATCAAGAACGGGGTTTCCCAATCCACGTTACCATTCATAATTATACATATTCTCCAACAATAACAACATATATATATATTTTACATTTGCAAATATGATAATAAGAAATCAGTTTCAAAGAAACATTTTTCATTCATGTTTTTCAAAAGCTACTTCTTTTTTTAATGAAAAACAAAAACACTAAAACTTTTCGGTAATGATGTTTTTACACCTACAAATGTTATTGCACTATTTTTATACTTTTCATTGTAAAGAGTAAGAAGAGAAATTCAAATTTTAGTTTTTCTCACTTTTTTCTAATGACTAACAAAAATTATCCTTGAGATCTAAGTTTATGTAATCCCAAAAGAAAAATAAAACAATATAAATATGATAAGTATACTTAATATAATATGACAAAAAGGTGAGATACGAAAAACTAGAAAGTGTCAATGAGATAATTATAGTGAGTGTTTACATATCATATTACTACTCCTATATGAAAAGTAACTCTCTTCTATTTCAATTGTTAGTACTTATTTTTTCTTTACATTCTTTTTTTAATATCATCTAATTATCATATCAATAATTTTTTTTCTTATTTTTCTCCGCTATCCACCTCATTTAATTTAATTAACAGTGTAGGAGGTGGGGGAAAAGAAGAAAAACAGAAGAAAGAGATTAAAAAAAAAAAAAGAGGATAGAGTAAATCATGTGAAATAGAAAAGGTTAAAGAAAAGAATGTAAAAATTTATATGTAGTACGAGAGTGAAAGTAAAGAAAGAGAATGTATAGGGTAGATGCGATGACGTTATCACAAATTGGGCACGCGTTTCTCGAAAGCGAAAAGCTTGAGGGACAAAAAGAGAGGCACCGTTCCATTGGATGAAGGCCTGCCACGGGCGAAGGGATAATAATAAAAAGAAAAGTGGAAAAGTTGAAGATAGATAGATATAGAAACTAGAAATTAAGAACATAAAAGAAAGCACAGTAGCCATTAGCCAAAGTCTGTCTCATTGTAGAACCTGGACCTCTGACTCCATTGTCCCTTTGTCCAGAATTTTCACGGCACATCTCGACGCGACTGTGAGAAAAGACTAACCCAAAGCCACAACTTTTGGGGTACCCTACCCTTACCCTTTGCCCAATGTCTCTTCTCAACTATTTCCATCTATTTATTTCGTCAAACACGAAGGAGAACTCAACAAAGACACTTCCCACATTCACTAGTTGACTAGATCACTAAACAAAAATTCTAGAAGCATGCATTAACTTAACCAGAAATTTCAAGTTTGAGTCTAAATATACATGTGTCAAATAATCATAAATGACTTAATTTGTTGTTTCCTATAGTTTTATTCAACTTAAACAAAGTTGTGTGCTCTAGAGAATATTTGTAGTCTATACAAAAAAAAAAGACATATATATAATGACAAGAAAATTATTTTAAAAAAATGAAGAATATGCTTAGTGTTGTTGATTATTGATTGATATGAAGTTGGTGTTTGGATGTGGCATGCAGAGATGGTAATGAGCTCACCTGATAATCAGTGTTAGTAAGTGTTTATTTAAAGACAAGTGCAATGAGGAAGAAGTGGACAAAATTAATGATGGTGATGATCGATGAGGTGAGAGAGAAAGTAACAAGATGAATATTGAAGTAGCTAGGAGGAAGAGAACAACATGATGAGAGAGAGTGACAGGAAAAATTCTGTTAGCTAGGAATCCATATATAAAAGAAGAGGAAGGACCACTGAGTTGCGCATGGCTTGATGGTTGTTCTCCCCATAGGTGACGTCATTGCCTAGCTTCCTACCCCATTTTCTTTTTCTCTCTTTGGTCATGTTTTTGTTTCTTTTCTTTTTGTTTTATTACCTTAGGCAAGACACATGTTCCTTTCTTCTCCTTCTCACCCCACCTATTTAATTTAGACTATGTTTATGTAAAGTACATAAATATGCTTTTAAGAGCTTTTATTTATAAGGTTGTTACTCACTGCATTGATTCTGATTTTTAACGGCGGTTAACTATCCTAAACCCTAAACTTCGTATCTAGCCTTGATATGGATGGGGATTTCCACTTTAGAGATCATGTTACATACCATGACTGACTTGATCCACTTCTTCAGATATACTTTCGGTTATTAAAACTGAACTCAGCCTCTCTTACTAACGTACGCGTGCATAATAAGTGTTATACAACCTTTATGGAATGAGATGTGATATTCATATACATCCCAAACAGGGTGTAAGAGTTGAAAGAAAAGAGAGATGGAGGGAGAAAATAAAAAAAGAAGAGATAAATAAAAGATATTATAAATGATGTTATAGAAATTTAAGAGAGATGTAAATACACAGTAATGGAATGGAATTCATAATATTAAAATGAAAATTAAAAATTAATATTTCAGTAATCCATATTAATTTTTCAGTAATATTCTATTTTTATCATTTTTATTTGATTCATTTGTTTCCTCAATTATATTCTTTTTTCAATACTAATATTGAACAGTATATCAAATAAATATAATTCAATAATGAATAAATTGATCAATAAAGTCATAGATTTACTTATTTCATCAAATGATAGGTTCGTTAATAGAAAAAAAAAAGTAAATATATATTCAATATTTTTGTTTAAGTATAGTTAGTAACATATTGTTTTCATATTCTTTTCGACACATTTTATCTTACCGATTGAAATTCATATAATAAGTAACTATAACATTTAAGTTACTCTTTGTCTTTGTGTATTTAAAAAAAAAAAAAAGAGTAAATACTTAATAATAAGAGGATATGAACAGTTTTGAGTAATTGTAATTATAAAGTAGTTTTTTTTTGGAAAAAGAATAGAGAAAGAGAATAATTTGAAAGATAATTTTAGGGACAAAATTGTAAAATTAAAAGTAGACATCAAATAAAATAATTTTATTTATTAATAGTATAGATTATTAATATAGACAATTATCAGATTGTTTGAATGAGACTCACGTAAGTTTTAACATAAAGAAATGTTTGAGAAAGAGAGTATTAAGAGAGTGTTGCTACATTTTTATATTTGATTTCCTTTTCCCTTTATTTTATTCTTACTGAGTCAATAATGGTACATTTTTTGTTCTAAAGGTACGTACGTGTAGAAAATGTTACTGTAAAACAATTTTATAAATTAGATATTAAGGGAAAATATATTGACGCTTATTTGTTTATAACGCAAAATATATTGATGAAATATGGAGTACGAGAAGTATATTCCCCAACTCAAATACACATATATTAAGTGCATAATTGCATTAATCAAGTGATGAAATTGCGTGCTATAGGTACAAGCCCAACTACATAAAGATAAACCGAAGGATGATGTAAATCTAACAAACATTAGAGTGGGGTTTATGCATCACTAGATTGACACATAAATTATTATACTGACAAATGGAAAATTTTAGTGTAATGACATGACAGTAACTAAAAAATTGTGTAGTTCATGTTTATAACATGTATAGAAAAAAAATCAAGTTTAAAATTAATTAGAGATAAAATAATTAAAGAGTATATAAGTAAGAAATAATTTTTATTTTATAAGTTGATTTTGTAAAATTGAATTAGGTACAAATTCACTATCTAAAATGATATTAGAGTTATCTAGATGTACTCTAAATGGGTCACCTACCATTGATATATGTACCAAATCCAATAATGTTGGGTGTAACAAGATGTATTAGGAAAAATTCAAGTCCTGTTTATCCTAGATTATTAAAGGGTCACTCATCATTTATCTACATACCAAGTTCAATAGTATTGGACGACGTGAAGAAGTGTATTAGGAAAAATTCAAGTCTCGCCTATCCTAGATTATTAAAGGGTCACCAACCATTTATATCCATGTATCAAGCCCAATAGTATTGGATGTGAAAGAATGTATTAGAAAACACTCAAGTCTTGCATTAACTAAAGATAAGACAATTAAAGAGTATATAAGTGGGGGTAACCCTCATCTTACAAGTTGATTTCGTAAGGTAGAGTTAGGTCCAAACCCACATTTTAAGATGGCATGAGAACTATCTAGACCCACTCAAAATGGTTCACTCATCATTGGTATACGCATCAAGTCCAATAGTGTTGAGCGTGAATATATTGAAAAAGAAAACCTAATAAGTCTCATCTATCCTAGATCATTAAAAAAAGGTCACCTATCATTTATCTACGTATCAAGCTCAATAGTGCTGAATGTGAGAGCTTGTTTTAGAAAAAATTTAAGTCTCACATCAAATAAAAATAAGACAATTAAAGAGTATATAAGTAGGCAAGTTAGTGTTTAAGGTTGAGTTAGGTCTATAACCCACTTTCTAAAATGATTAGTGAACTTATCAAGCTACCTATTATTGGACCACTCGCAGATGTTTAGTCCTACAAACATCACGCTTGAGATAATATATATATATATATATATATATATATATATA